TATTGCCAAGCACACTTACTGGAGCGTTTGTAGAAGCTCCATTCCAAAAGGCAAAGTTGGTTCCACCATGGATCATGTAGAAGTTGAAACTTGCTCCCAGGCTGTACATATCTAAACTGGCATCGAATACGATAGTTAACGGAAATTGGCTCAGGCTGAGCCACCGCAGCAGAATAACTCACACTTTGCCGATTTCATTATATCATCAACTGTTGGGACATTAGCGGATTTTTGTCCCCAAAGCACGAACCATCCTGGGTAGAACTCTGAATTCGCTATAGGTCCTCTCCCTGAAAGGACAAACAGGTATATTCAGTGCCGATGCAGCTATCCGTAAACCATTAGGCATGTATTTTCGTTGCGCATCGAATGCTGCTTTGATGTTTTCTTCTGAAGTTGGACCAAAATCGACAGTAGGGTATGTGTCAGGTACGGCTCCACATTTCAGATAATCTTCCGATCCTCCATCAGCTGGAAAAAATAAATGTGCAGTAGTATAATCGTTGGATGTTAGTCACTTACTAGTGTATATAACAGTGTCGTTGCCTAGATAACCGCGAACATAGTCTCGCAGCCAAGTTGTATAAGTTCTAAAGATTTTTGAAAAAACCTTCAGCTGTTTTAGGTCAAAAAATTACCTGTCGCAGAAGGAGGTGCTACCGTACTCATTCTCAATCTGCAGCATCAGCACTGGACCACCATTTTTTCGCAATAGTGGCTTTATAACAGGAAGCAGTGCCATATAAAATTTTTCCACAGCTTTCATGAATCTGTTACAGAAATTTTTGAATTTCTCTAAAGATTTTCACAGCATACCCTTTCTCGCTCGTACGCGGTTTGTTACCCTCTTTATTCAAAAGCCAATACGGGAAACCACCATTTTCCCATTCGCCACAGGTGTAGGGACCTAAAATATGGCTTATGAAGGGTCACCTAGGTCACCTGATGCGCTTACCGATTCTCAAAATGGTGTATAAGCCCAGATCTTGTGCTATAAGAGAAAATTCACTGAAATTGCGCCATCCGGAGAAGTCAAACCTAAAATGAATATATTGCACCATTAGTTGCAAATAGTGCAATTTAAGTTGCGTTCAGAGTTCATATTGAGTTCAGCTGTGTAATATATAAAAATCGAACCTGATGCCACAAAATACTAAGCTGTCATCGACTTTTATATAACGCATTTACAATTTCGAATTGAGTGAGATGAGACCGAGGACAATTCGATCACTTCCAGTTAGAGTATTAAAGGCAGCGGCTCGGCAGAATGACAAATTTGGGATA